AAGGTGGCACTATAAGTGTTCACGAACAAAGTTTTCACTGTACTCATATTAATGCATGTGACAATAAACCTAATTCAATTCCTCATTCAATTCAATTCATTTCCAAAACGTTTCCATCTATCGCTGAGGTAAGGGGGTTGTATGATGCTGACTGACTTCTGAAACCCAATGACATAGCTTAACTTCCATTTTCTAGAGATTGTGTTCCTCAAGGTGAATGAGAGACTTGGATAATCATCACTCCTCAAGATAGATTTCAAGGAAAACATGAATAATCAGCAATCTTAGATCAGATTGAAATCAAATTGAAATAGACCAAAGCAATTTAGTACAAGGTGTTGTATATTTTTCAATTATACTGCTAGACAAAAAGTTGTTAACAATACATGCTAAATGATTTCAGTGTTGCTTAATTTGCTTTTTGCAATGGAACATCATGATGACACCTCAGCAGCTGCAACTGAGCTTGAGGAATCCTGCTGATGGTTTGGTTGTCTTGCTTAAGTTAACTTTGGCAGATGTCTTCTGTTGAGCCTTGGCTTGAAATGGCCCTGATCTGCTGGGTGTCTCCTGCACAGATACAGATGTAACCCCATGGCCTGTACCTGATGGGATTCTGACAGAGAGGAGACGGTGCAATACTGCTGTCCAGCTATGTCCTGAAATGCCTGTATGGCTGGCTGTTTTTCCTTCTCCCACTCTATGCATAATGACACCTCACTTACCTCTTAATGAGTTGGGGCACCGAGAAGAAGGTGAAGGTGTCTCTTGTCAAGCCATTGAATGAATGCATGAATTGTTCAGGTGTTGGAGGGAAGGTCACCATGCATAGCCAGCAGAAACTGATTTTTCTGCTGGACCTGGCTGTCCATTGCAGCCGCCAACTAAATCATGGAGGTTGCTATTAGCTTGCATGCCAGAGGCACAACATCTGACAGAACTGGGTAGGGTCCCCTATGCATGATCCCTAGCACCTCTTTTCAGTCTTTCCACTGCTTTCCTTTATATTTCCATCAGCACATTAATGACCAGAGGCTCATCATCTCTACTGGACTCAGCAGAGGCCTGTTCTACAGGCCTCTGAGTGTCAGAGACCTCTCTGATCTGTAGATGCAAGCCTGCCAGTGCTGTGCTAACAAGAATATCACCCCAAGCCTACTCTAGATAGATTACCTACCAAGGTGAATATCTATGCCCAGGAACATTGAGAGGGAAACCTTGACAAAACTTTATCTGAGGATCAGAGTGATCCTCCTGAGAAGTGTGCTTTGACAGGCTGGTAGAGATATGCCTGGTGCTGGGGCTCTTTTTGTTTGCTTTGTCCTGGCTTGGGACTTTGATCCAAAAAGACTGAAGAGAAAAACATGAAGACTTCACAGTGAAGTCTTAACCTAAGGCTTCATTATGGCATTGGGCTTGATGTGTATCTGGCAGTTGCAGATTGTAAGCTTTCTCACTAGATAGCTGTGGATATCCAATTTCCCCTCAACCATTGGTATCTTACCCCTACTCCCTTGCTAGCTTGGTGGGCTACTCCTCAAAGGGAGTCAGGAGTCTTACATCAGGCATCTCCCTCACCCCTGTCTGTCAGCGATCTTAGCAGGAGTACATTAGGACTGTGCCTGCATCGGTCTACTGTATATCGATGAAGATATGGGGCAAGTTCTGATTGGAAGGAGCTTCATTGTCATCAACTAGCTGGAGTTGATCAATATCATTAAAACGTCATTAGATGTGTATGTCTGATGGGAGAGTAATGTCCTGTGAGAGGTTTACTTTCTGTCATCGTGACCTCGGCCCGTGCAGGCCATTGGTGAAAAGCTATCAGAATTATAGGTTTACCTATTTGTAATATAAGGTTGGTGAACGAGTTGCCGAGGGCGATAATTCCTTTCACTCATGGTGCCATGGAGAATTGATGCTTAATAGATCATTCACGCTCTTACGACACTGGGTCTGATTTCCCTTGGCATTCTAATGCATAGTGACTACCTCAGCCACCATGGTCCAACACGTCTTTGTCACTCAGAACGGTACCTCCTTTCCTGGAGAGCTTCGAGGAGCACACAGAGAGAAACATCATGAAAGCTGAGGGGCTGTCTTTTGCCACATTTCCAATATCATCAGGTGTGGGTGGGATTGATGAGCAGAGGTTGAATAATACTCCTTGGTTGCAGACAGTTAAGTGCTATCCAGACGTCTTTTAAATCTATTGCCCAGAAGTGGGAGCCCCCATTGGTTGCTGGGGCTGCAGAAGTTCCTGCCCAGAATATTAAGTGTTTTACTTGTGTATGAATTTGTAATGAGTTGAAGAAAACATAATCATTCAGATATACCCAACCTTTCTCTTAGTATAAGTCCTCCGGATTTCAAGCCTGCCTCCACTGTTAGAGAAGAAAAAAGTTCCATTCATCATCAAGCTTGTCTCTCATTAGGACTGGGTTTGAGTCAGTTTTGCTCAGAACATATTTCATTCATGATTGATGCAATTTCTGGTTTCTTGTAAACTGCATCTATGTAACATATAACATGAAACTTGTGTTCTTGTTGAATTGAATATCTTGAAGTTTATTTGCAACATCAACTATTTACACAGCTAAAATATCATGGGACTGATATTTTAGGTTCTATGCTTACTGCTAATCCTGTACATTATGCTCACACAACTGCCGTTGACTTCATTACACAGATTGTGACTAAAGACTATCTTTATACCAGAAGTTAACATGTCCTAATGTAATTTAACTGTCTGTATCCTATCAAACAATATGGTGTGAAATTATTCAAATATCTGTTTCAGTTGGAAAGAATTGTAATGAATCTTTAATGATCATGAATTCTTGAGCACCTGCAGATATTTTAGACTCCAGACAGAAATGAATGCACATAAACTTCTCTCCCAGATCAATCAGCAGGGACACTTGGAGCTTCTATTTTTCATTTCAAAGGCAGTTTCTGATCTCACATTTTACATTTAACTGGTGTTCTTTCACAACTGGAAATGTGGTTTGAAAGAATGTGAGAAATAATCTGGGCTAACATTTTTCTTTTGTAACTTGATTAAACAGTAACTCATTTGTTACTCATGGAAGTAATGTGCTAATAGAAACAGTGAAACTTTCACATTACGCAAGAACGCTGTCTCAGGCGTTGGTGAATTATTCTTCAGCTTAGAGTCAGTTCAAACTGAGTTACCATGGAAATGATGGAGAGAGCTAATAGGATTTATTAATTGGACTGTTTCAAAGTTTTGAAGTATGGCCTGGAAAATGTATCATTATTTTTGCTGCAACTACTTTGAATTGAACTGCCAAGAATCAGTGGACAAGCATTTAAACAAATCAGCACTCATGGACATGGTTGTGACAGAACTAACAATTCTCATGTTTGTTTATGAAGATGTGTCTTTTGTGCTGAATGGCATTATATTTTGCTCTGCCTTAATCCATAGTAAATCTGCACCATTTGTTTTTATTCTCAAACAAGTCAGATTGAAACAAAGCTGCAATCAGTGTGATCTGCTCAATGTCAGATTAGAAGGTAGGACCAGGAACTGACTGCCTTTACAAGGATAGGAGGGAATGGTAGATAAAGGACTGATCCCACAGCTTCAGAATTTCGTTGAGATTGAAGCCACGAGTGGCAATTCTGTTGTATGTTCAATTCAGTATGTCACAACCTGCATTTATTTTGAGATAGTGGGAACTACCGAGCTGGAGTCTGAGATAACAAGGTGTAGAGCTGGATGAACACAGCAGGCCAGGCAGTACCAGAGGGGCAGGAAAGCTGACGTTTCAGGTCTGGACCCTTCTTCGGA